GTCTCTCAGCTTGTTCTATCGATCTCTGCCATTGTGGTTATAACTAAAGCCTCACCTTAACTGTGTTCATTGCCGATTTCGGCTTTCCAGATCAATCTCGCTGAAGGGTGATTGCTGATGGCAGAGATCGATAGAACTAGCTGATAGACAGGCGAAACGAAGGACCCGCAAGGTGTGGTGGCGAACGTGTCACTCCCCGGAAAAGACAATGACGCGTTCGTTCCCTACCGCAGACACCTGCGGTCGAGAGTTATTTCGCAATATAGCCATGAAAAAGAGTAAGCAGCAAATAAAACTGTTAAGATTATGAGGAGAGTGTTCGGGTCTCAGGTGCAGAGCAAGAAGCATTCACCATGGCGTGTCGTGGGCAAGTTTGTTTGATCTTGTCCCGGTGACGACCTGCGCAGTTCGAGATTTTATCGCCTCCTATTGGTTTTCTCATCACCTGTCATCATAGATGAGGCACACATTGTCCTGCTTATTGAGGTTGGTTTATTGCTGCTTGGCAAATTTGTTTATCTCTGCAGTTGTGACGTAGTTTTGCCAGGACGTTTCCAAGTCTTCACTACAGCGTTCGGTACATGTTTTTAATGACTACTTGCTTCGTGTGTGAAGAATGGGAGGAGACATAGTGAGTGATATATTTTTTCTACGTGGCTTTCCATACCATTTTGTTATATAGCCACTTTCTTAAAGCTTTATTTGGATGTTTAAGAATGGAAGCCAGTTCTCGGTTGGTTTTACCCGTGTGAATTTTATATACTCTATCTATTTGACGATTCAAAGCATTCGTCCATCTGTTCTTGTGTGGAAGGGACGATAAGATAGTCGTTTATGTATCGACAGTAGAGTGAGGGTCGGTGATGGAGAACAACAACTGATAGCAACCTCGCGTTAGCGTAACGGGCAATTCGTAAGATTGTATATACATATGTTACAGGAATTATTTCAGGCTAGGAAAGCCGAAAAATTCCACATGTTCTAGTGAATCAGTAGTAAACTACCATTTCTAATTACTAGACAGCTGATCTAAATAAAATGCGGGAGAATAATCGATAACTCAAGACATTCTAAATGATGAAGTTTCGGACTTCGTAAGGTTTACTTCTGTATGCTTTGATGGTTAGAGCACGACTACGACGACATAATGTGATCTTTACACTTGCGAAGCTTGCCACCATACAAATAAACGTTGTTAATAACTTTTTCTTTTGTTTTTCCCTATTAGTTTGCCATTTTTGTGTCTTTTTCGGGACATGTGTAGCGCACATGATAAAGATGCCCTGCAATATACACGTTGTCATTGGTTCGATCCCGCTCCCCGTGGTCCCCAATCCTTCCATCATTGAGGAGTTGGTAAATTGATATCAGAATTGTCTGAGAGGATTGAAGTACTGGCTTGACACATCGGTAGGCCACGACAAGTCATTTTTGGGCCAGATACCTCTTTAATCACCCCTAACGATGTTTAGTGAAGTCGACTGCAGAGCCCATCACTCCGGGATTAATCAACACTAAATGCATCATCCTTTATAATTTTATATATTTTCCACAAAATAAGGATTAGTTTTCATTTATTTTTTGAAAGTACTTGTGTAAATAGTTCGTGAACAGCTATTTTTTCAAACAGTATTGTTGTAACACACATACCCCTTTTCCAGTTTTCCCTTCTAGTAAACTCCAATTCTTTCACTTAGCCATTCTCCACTACTTTTCCTACCATTCTGTGTAATCACCAACATCAGTAAGTGACTGTGAAGTTCCTAAGGCCATGTTGTCATACTTCGTACTACCCACCAAGATAGTTGCTCTATTGAATGAATTCTTATTCGCTTTCCTGGAAAAGGGAGAAAGAAAGAGTTTGCAAGGTGTATTAGAGGAGCATATTGTTTGACATCAAAGAACACACCATTCACACTATTTGATTTATAAGCTGCATTCAAAGCGACTTATAAGTGACAGCAGCGAATTGTCGCTGGTAACGCAACGAAGATACATCAAACGGGAAAGGAAGGAATAAAAGGAAATATTCCAGCAAAGTGCAAGTGCAGTTTAAATTGTATGACGTTGGAACTCCATAGACTACTGAATATGAAAAAGTGTATGTTTTCAGCACAACGTGCATAAATCAATCCGTGATGAACGAACGATGGGAGAAATAGTACACAGAAAGATTTGCTCGAAACTGGTTTAGAAGCGTTGTTTCATAAAACCATTGGTTGGTTACGGTATCGGTAGCGTTGCCCTTCATAAAGAAGTCGTAGTACGTATTTTTTTAAGGACACTTCCTATTCACGTTGGCCATATGATTATTCAAAAAGGTCACAAAAGTGTTAGTATTCAGCAGATGTTGGATTGAAGAGCACTCATTTCGCAATCCATTACATCACTGATAACCATATCGTCATCATACTATCCTAGGAATTACGTCTACTTGACTTGTTCTTTTTGTGTTTGCTCATTTATTCCGGTTTTCATTGTGATTATTAAACGTGCGAAAATGTTGCGTGGCTTCTTCTTAAAATGTGAGGGTTTGTTATCGTACTCACGCATCGCTTGCCGTTTCTATATCGAACTTTCTGTAGTTGTTATGGAACGCTTCAATGGTGTTCTGAGGCTCAATAGTACAGTACACTGATGACATTTCGTAGCTGAACAACCATATCATCTAATGTACACGATACGATCGCGATGGACTAAGAACTTCAGCAGGAGATCTTCACCTGTGCAGGCATGTATCATTGAAAATGTCGAACTTCTAGCTATCGTTTTGTACGATTTTCAAATTGGCATGGTGAACATGTTCCGATGGAGCATCGCAGCAAACAGTGAAGAAATAAGAAATGGAAGAATTTGTTGCGAAAGTGATTGATTATTTACTGAGCTCCGTACTTCCATCAAGAAACCATCAGTCAAGAAAATTTTCTGTTCTTTTTTAAAAAGAATAAGATGAGAACACTGCGCACTCTCCCGGACACTGTTGTCATGGATTTACTGCTCTTGTTAAACTCAACAGTCCAGCATTTTCCTTACCACTGATGCAGCTCATCTTCTTACACTACTCCCTGTGTTGCCGCCGATTTGCATCGCGTTCGCCAGTGATCCCATCGATTCCATACCGCTTGTATTCGTGCGCTGCCTTCCGAGAGGAAAGGACGAATGGATATATGTGTATACAGTATTTTCTTGAGTGCCGACGCTATCGCTAACTTTCCTTGAGCTTAGACCAAAAGCAATAAACTAATCACTTGTCCTCGAACACAGGTGGAATCAAGAGAGTGGCCCACTACTCATATTCTACCCAGGTCGTCACCATCGCTGCAATTGTGGTTCAGAAGGTGATTTGACACCATGCGACTAGTTTGATACCAGTGGTAATTCGAACGGTGGTAATTCGTGGTATTTGTTTGCTCCTACCTGGGCTTCCGGTTGGAAAAGTCGGACTCCCTCTCCGCAAGCAAGGTCTTGCCTGGCGGGATGAACTCCTCGCTGTACTCGAGGCCTCATAACCGGTGACACCTCCAAGCCACAATGAGGCGATAAACCGTTGTGGAGGACAAAAACCCAAATGGCAAGAACAGACTGCTGTCGACACTGGACTGGAATCATTCCGGCTCTTAGTAAAGCGAAGACGATGAAATGTTGACCAGAATCAGGTTTTCTAGCAAGCGTATGTTAATTTGTCAATACAGCAAGTTATTGACTAATAGTGAAGCTAAATGAGAGTAAGTTTTTAGCAAAAATATTGTTTGTCTTTGTAGTATTTGTAATACTCATGTATTTACGTATGCTGTTATTTATTTTGGAGTCGGTTTCTTTAGAGGCATGTAGTGTGTTGCTAATGATCTAGTTCATCATGAGCAAAGTGCTCGTTCAACACCGCCTCTGGTTTACCAAGCTTCTCATTTTTGCATTGTCGAAAAATTGATGCCTGTCTTCTCTGGAAGAAGCTCATACCACAACCTTCAAGTATGGACACCTCTAACCCGACTAAAGCGCGGTTTTAGAGAAAGTAGACTCGCACAGCATTCAGCAATATTCATAGAGAAGATGAGATACCTCAAATAAAGGCCGACCCCAGATGTGGTGACACGCCCGTTATTTCGTATCGTTCACATTACGCTGTAGATGTGGATTCCCACGTAGCCGTCGAACATCGTGAGATGGTGTGCTGATGAACGTTCATCGTGGAAAACTTATATTTTTTCAGAAAATCAACACCGATGCCCGAAGTATTTGTAAACAAACCCGTGGGCAACATGAATCAAGAGCCAAAATTCTCATGCAAAACTGTGAGTTTCTTTTTGAATCATAGTCTTCTTTTACGTTCACTGTTCATCACCACCACCACCACCACCACCTCGATTTTTGACGTATGCTTACCTCCTGTCTTAATTTTCTGTAAATTTCCGTTTTTTTCTACATCGACCATGGAGCAGAAGTTGACCAAATCCACAAAGTTTTTTTCTATCCATCATCTTAGTTTAGGCTTTGGAGGATTTTCGTAATTGGAATGAATAGCAGCTAAGTGTAGGAAATCAAAATAAAGACTGACGAGATATTTGCAAAACTCCGGACCGCAGGTGTCTGCGGTGGGTAACGAACGGGCTCTTGTCCTTTCCGGGGAGTAACGCGCTCACCACCACACCATGTGGGTCTTTCGTTTCGCCTGTCTCTCAGGTAGTTCTATCGATTTCTGCCATCAGCAATCAGCCGTCAGCGGGATTGATCTGGCGTGCCCAAATCGGTAACGAACCCAGTCAAGCTGAAGCTGTAGTTATAATCACAACTGAAGCAGGCGGGCGAAACGAAGGACCCGCATGGTGTGGTGGTGAACGCATTACTCCCCAAAAAGGACAATAGCACGTTCGTTCCCCACCGCAGACACTTGCAGTCCGGAGTTTCGCAAATATCTCAGCAATACTGTGGTTGTATTTCGCTTAATATCCTGCCATAAAAATTATAGAAGGCAGAAAATAAAAAGTAAAACATAGAGACTGATGGCTTTTTTTCATTTTGCTGTGCGGCAGGTTCTGATCAGCATCGCCGTAATTGGAATGGTGGCTGTTACTTGGGCAATGTCAACTCAGTTCAGCAAAACAGCACTTGTTATTGACCCCGTGCGTAAGTTATGTCTTTCCCATAAGCATATTCTTCGCCAAAATGCTCAAAGAAAAGGAACAAGGCCGCTTACAAGTTAGCCATATATATATATATATATATATATATATATACCAACGGTTTACCGCCCCATCGTGGCTGGGAGGTTTATCTGAGTGTGGTGTCGGACTGCGATGTGCAGCTGGCAGATTCATCCTCCCGACAGAGTCTCCCATGCTGAGAAGCACTCCGGCGTTTCCATGATGAAGCCTAGCTAAGACTAAACTACTCGTATGGTGGCAAATCTCCCTCTGATCCACAAAGGCGACGACTGCCTATGGTGGTGACGACCTAGGGCAGAATTCGGGCTGGCTGACTTCGGGACTCCAGAGAACCGCAATGGATAAACCAGCAAAACTCTAAAAAAATGGAAATTTCGCTAGGGTGCGCACAACCACTGAAGACAATTCATCCATGTATCCAGGGTGCACGTCGGAGTCTTTATACATAGATACGATTTCACGGTCTAGTTAGGCCACGATGAGGCGGTAAACCGTTGAGAGGATATAAATATATATATATTTTATATACAAATATATGTCTATTATACATACGGAGGTGTGTATGTGTTTATTTAGATATATATATATATATATATGTATATATATATATATGTAGGGAGAGAGAGAGAAAGAACGGGAAATGGCGTATGAAGTAAGATTTCAGCGTTTTCTTCCTGATTATGACAGTGATCACACGTTCCATTTCCCAATTCAGATTCCGTGAGAATTTAGACATAGAATGCTGTAAGACAATATTAAGCCGTGAAATTTCTCTTTTGTATGTTGGAGGTGCTTGATGGAGACATAGCTACGGTTTCTAATAACCAGCGCTCGCGCTGTACATTGCGCTTCCGCTTCATGAAGTCCTTTTTGATGTCTTTTTCGTAACACTCATGAGGAGCGGCGGCTGTTCTCTGTCCACCTCCATACTACGCACCTCTGAAATTGTTGCGTTAGATGAAGAGTATTGTGAGGCCATTAGTCGAGTTTCGTCGTTTCAGACACATTTTTACGCACCATATTTGATGATGTGGTTCAACACGAATTTCATGATGGTCTGCTATCCAGTGTATTTAATCTACGAGTTGATTTTATCGCGAAATTGGCCCAAAGCCCACGAGTAAGTGTAAACTCTTGTTGGATTTCAGTTGAAGTGAATTAAAAATATGGCCGGTAAAGTTTCCAAAACACTATGGACTGCTTACTTTCTGTTTTCCTTGCGAAGACGCTCAAAAAGGCCGCAAACATGCGCATTCATGTTAACATGCCATTATGCTGTTTGTGTCAGAACTCAAATAGTGCACATTTCTCGCCATTGAAATTCGTAGAGGTCTTTGCATTGCTGATAGCTTAAATTATGATTTACAAGTTGGGCAGGGTAACAGAAATTGGGTGATAATGGTATCATATTGGAAACTTTTGGATATGGGATTTGTGAGCATTGATTCCATAGAGAGTACCCATCTTCTGACCTGACATGCTGGATTTTACGTGTTGCTACCACAGTTTAAACGCCAAACTTGAGTAGTTAAGCCTTTATCTAAAGATTCCGACAATAACACTACGACGAATTAACAAATATGGGTCTACCTACTGATAATATTTCTTTAACTAATCGTTAGTTATAACTATGTGTACTTAACATACGACAGTGGTTGATACTGCGTGTGTTAATGGAGAGCTCAGAAACTGAATCCTATTAAATGAGCTACAAAGTGGTGGAGGTGTGGATCGTAATAGCATCTAAGCGAGTGGAGCGATGACTAAAGGTGTTTATTTCGTTATAGAATGAGCGGAGCTTCTTAGAGTTTCCCAGTTAACGCATTCTTATACAGCTGTTTCAGTGCGTTAAAGTGCTTGAGATGAAGGCGTGTAATTTTTGCACTGTGCTGATTCATAACAATAGACATGAGAATTTACATCACATGAAAATAGAAAGCTTACCGAATTGAACGATCTCAACAATTCCATCCCTCTGCACCTCAAGTTCACATGTCTGAACAAGGAGATTCGCTGTCCCATGAAAAGTGTTCTGTGGGACATGTATACAGGAATGTGGAGTATTTTCCACCAGGTGGAGAGTAAGCTATATAAAATGTAAATCCGAGAAGTTGTTGGTCATACTCTTCCTCTCTAATGTTCGGTTTATCGTCGGCATGGTCACATTCTGTAATGGCACAGTTGAAATAGAATGTGCAAAATCTTTACAAAAAACAGGATGGAAAGTATTGAACAAGTGAGATTTGCTGTCAAACTTTAAACGACGGGAAGCATGTTTCGCAGCTTTCGTGTCGCGGTGGAGCCCAACATTGAACTGATTCAGATTACCATGTCATCTGTTTGACGCAACGGTTCTACACACACTTCGCTATGTTGATGGAAATGAGGGTACCACTTGGACGCATAAACACTATAAACAATTCACATGAAACTAGCTGGTGTACTCAAGCAAAACTTTGCATTTTTAGTTTTTGTGGAAAGTCTGGAATGTCACTTAAAGGGAAACACCAATAATTTGTACTATTACAAGAACATCTGACACCGACAAATTAGTTCCGTATTTGTTCTGTAGATGAGCTTGACATCTTTGAGGTTGATCACCAACAGGTCAGCATGTTTACTGCTATTGTGAACGACTAGAGTAGTTGCTGATAGCACTGCGATAATAAATATGTGCTGCTTCTCTTCCGATAAGGAGGTATATCCCTACCATTAAGCTTAAAGCAGAACCTTGAGCTTAAGAAATTTGCAGTTATCTTACCTAGCAAATTCTTTTGAAGGTTTTGAATTCGGAACAACATGCGTTTTACCCTTTCTAAGGGCACACGTGCCGTCCACCACACCAAACGAATCCCTTGCTTTGCCTTTCTGCGAACCTATCGGAATTGTCAGCAATCACTCGTCAACGAGAACAATCTCGAGAGCATAATTCGGCATAAACTGGATCAGTAGACGAAAATCACCATTTCCTAACTTTTACACAGTACTCTGTCATGAAAAAAGAATAGGCAGTAAAGAAAAGTTATGACATTGTGATTTTGACTGTAGATTCGGCTTAGAGGAGCATCAGTGCTGATTTGTGCCGCCGAGATGATGCAACACTTATTTGTGAATGTTCTGACCATTTCGTTAAATGATTTGTATTGTCTTTTTGTGACTGCATGAAGATTTGCAGAGCTTCCTTATCGGTCTTCGGTGAGCAAGGTGTACGTCCTTGGACGGTGCCGTTATATGTCGGTCCGTTCCTACTGTTCTGGATTGGTGCCAACTACACCTACTCTGCCTCACTTCTGTACATCTCGGCCAGTATGGCGACAACGATCTCCTCCTGCAACGCAGCCATGGTTTACATGCTTGCCCTTCTCCTACTAGGCGATAAATTTATTCCAATAAAGGTGAAACTACTTTGTGTTATAATCGTACTTACTTTAAACTTGACACTTGACACTTGAACGGCCCGTCATCACTAGTTGTGCGGGCCCCAGCATAGCCACCATGTTTCGGAGATTTGCTGGTTAAGTCGCTGTGGTTTCCTGGAATCCCGAGTTCAGCCTGGCCAAAGTTTGCCCCAGTTCTTCACCACCACATGCATTCGCCGCCCTTGTGAATCAGAGGGAAATTTGCCATCATGCGACTTTGATACCAGGACGGTGGCGGGTCCTGGTATTGGGTTTACTCTTAGCTAGGCTTCCTGATAGAAACGCCGGACTCCTCAGCTTGCGAGACCCTACCGTGGGGACGAATCATCCCTCTGTACATCGCAGTCCGACATCCAAGAACACCTCCTAGCCACGATGAGGCGGTGAACCGTTGTGAGGGTGGGTTAAACTCGTGGGTTATTGTACTTAGTTTAACACTTTTTTAAAACACTGACTGCATCAAACCGCTGTTCTCTGAAGTGTCATCGTTCAATTTCTTTGACATAACAGGCGTTATGGAAGATCTTAGCGTACAGCCGCAGTGTAGTAATTGTTTCAATTTTTCAAGAGAGGAATTTTAAAGGCAGGAGAAGTGTGAAGTCAGTTTATTTAGCTGACTATTTTGGTGATTTCTACTAGCGCTTTGCGGAAATTGTGTTGGAGTTGCTTACTTCCTCATTTTTATGCTAAAATATAGAAGAACGTCGTATTCTGGAGAATATTATTATTTTAGAACGCTGAGTTCATCACGTAAACGGTTTTCGTTTGTCGCAATAGAACAAGGGTTACACATTAGTACTACAGTATTACACACAGTACTACTCTAAGGATCTAAGAAGATGTTACCATCTCGCTCTCACAAACTCTGAACATCACGTTAACTTTAAGATGAGCAGCCTATACCGAAGATGCCGACCCTTAAATGCCTATTAAATTCGTTTACCACTGACAGCGCTATTCCTTCCGGAGCAGCATTCGATTAGCAGAGCTCCATAGTTTAGACAGTCCTTCAGGCGCCGACGCAAGCAATTCGTCACTTTAGATGACCAGCGTTTCACATGCTGTACCACTTACAAGCGCTTTTATAGCTCTTTTCGGTGGGATTTGCTATCGCTGGAGTGGTCGTTATTTCGCTAGGCGGTGAGATAAGAGTGAAATGGCAAGGCGTGGCTCTTTCGGTCTGTTCCGCTGCTTCGGCTGCTCTCTACAAGGTTCTTTATCTGTGACTGCTTTATTTTCCTTATTTTGGCCACAAACCCGATTTTATGAACAAATTATTCACGCGAACGTTATGAAAATAGATTAAAATAGTAAAATGGCGTCGTTAAAATGCGTTGGAAATTCGGATCCTATACTTTTGCATCTGCACTTTTCCATTACCGAGTGGTCAAGCTACACCAGTCGAGTCAGAATATTCTGCATAGTTAACGGTAAATCTGAACAAACGCAAGTTTTCTATTCGATATTGATGCTATCGATAAGTTCATTGACCAACTTTCTATTGCCTTCGGCATTGATCGGGTCATTCACTGTTCTCTTAATTAGCAAGCATGAGGTTGTACTTTTATTCGTTATTTATGAACGAACTGATGTTTCGGCGGATTTCGCCCCTCTCAGAGCTTGGAATGGTCGAGTTGACTGCGATCTAGGAAGCCAAGCACCTCCATAACTAAACAGAGGAAACAGTAAACCAAGAATTTCCACACTGGGCTTCGAGGTTGATAAAGATGTTTATTCGATTGAATCGATGGTCCAGAGTTGTTCGTCGATGTGGTATCTTAGTCTTCGTATTATGTCGGATCTTCTTCAATGGGGCATCTCTCGAATGAGACATACCTTATGGGCGATGCTGTTTTATACCGGCTGTTTTTGTTCATGTGGCGGATAATAATTTGTTTCTCAATATAACATCTTAAGTTGTTGAGCTTACACAGGGCAGTTGAAGATGGAGACGTCGAATCGTTAGCCGAATGAAACAATTTTAACACTAAACCAAGATTTCAATCACATTGAACAAAAAAATGCTTCTTTGTGTCCATCATTTTGGATATGTTCCAGGAATCCGAAGATGAACCGCAGCAGGGTATATCTGATAATCACGCCCGATGTCACACGTATTTTAGGTGTATTTTAATGTGAGAGCCACTTTTCGCTTCCATGTGAACGCTGCGATTGGTCTCCACGCGACATACTGAGTGGAAGACTCATAGAAGGCGATGACTTTGCGAAGCAGCTATTTCGTTTTTAAAATTATTGAAATCATGGCGTAGCGTTTTCTCTGTTTGATTATGAACGTTTTTGGCTTGGTAGATTGCGGTCCACTTGACCTTACTAAGCTTTGAAGGAGGCGAAATCGGCCGAACCGTCAGCATGTTAATAAATAAAGATTAATATAACAACCTAATATAATATATAACAATATAATATTTTCGAAAATTTTTAACGACTACTAGTCCAATTCTAACAAGTCGTCTTACTGAGTGAAGGCTTTCTTGCCTGAAGTCTTGAGTATTATATAAAGTGGCATTGATGCATTGCACAGTTCTATTTTATGCGTCTTGACCACTCCTGATTTTAATGCTCTGAAATGCAGCTGGAAGGACATTTTTTTCCGTATCACTTCCATTAACAGTCAAAATCTCGTGTAAACTGATTATTTGATATGATTTCTGCTCCAGCTCTTAAATGCTTTGTGTTGTGAAACTCTGATAGTCTTCTTATCTGTCTCCAAAGTATTTGATCACAAATGAATCCGTTTCTCCTTAGTATCAGTTTTCACTACAAGCAGTGGCTGCAGTTTTGTTGCAGGTGCTGTTCAAACGGTTGTTGGGAAACGCAAGCCTTGGTCAAGTCTCGCTATTCATGACATGCTTGGGATTTCTAAACCTCATCTGTAACTGGCTGCCCATGTTCATTCTTCAACTGACCAATGTCGAACACATGGAAATTGCCTTCATCCCATGGGTACCAGTGATTGGCGCTGCACTACTGTCATTGTGTACGTTATAACTTTACAATAATTCATCGGCATGGCTCAAGTTTAGTCCTTGGTTTGTTCAGATTTTTTTCGTAAATTATAAAAAGGTAAGATCTTCTTATTCTTAATGATCTTATAACCCACTTGGGATTTCTAGTCTCTTTTATGTGTTTCACTTTCGTTACACTACATTACCATTTTCTCAAACCAGCGTAGGCGCGTGTGTTTGTGGATATTCAATGTGATTTTGTTCCACTAGGCAGAAAATGTGTCTAGAAATGTGTATGATGTGCTATGCCGATCCTCAAACTCGAGTGAAAAGCACCCTATAAATCTCTTTTATTTAATAAATAAACCAAGAAAACAATATCTGCGTAGTCAATATAATAACGGTAATGTAGCGAATAGTTCGACAGATCGTACTACAAGAGTAGAGAACTGAAGCTTAAACGCACAGGAAAGGCATTTCCATATGGTGGTGACTCTTATGCGTCATCTGAATTCGATGGAGTTTCGCTACAAACGCTATAGTCAATACTCGAGAACAGGTGCTAGAATTTTCTTCAATCAGTACATTCTGGCAGAGGTCATTTATTCCATGAAACACATCGCATAAAGAAAGGATAAAGGATAAAGCTGTCGACGTTGATAAATGTCTGAGAGATGCGGTATGCATTTTACTTCATTAAGCATCGTCAGAGGGAGATTGAATGCATACCTGGCCTTTAACAATGACTCACGGTGCCCTACCGATGTATTGAGTCAGTGCTGCTATCCTCCCAGACAATTCTGGCGCCAATTTGCCGACCCCCGAGGGATGGAAGGCTTATTTGAGCCTATGAAGCGGGATCGATCCAATGTGTGTTGCAGGGTGCTTCTAACGATTGTGCCACGCGCACTCCAAAGACAGGACAGTATCCACAAAGCAGCTGACTCAATGTGTGTTGTGAGAGCTGTGAGAGAAATGTCGAAGAAGCTTCCCACCAGCAGTGGTGTGGAAGGTTATACAAAGGAGGGACAACTGATTAGTTCAATACAACAGGAGTGTAAATGGAAGTGTGGCAGTGACAAAGAACGTTTGTTATAGAAGTATTTTGCAACTCATGTTGAATGTGGTTCGGTGTTCTTTATAGATTACCATAGCTGAGGTTCAACATGTAGAATGACGTGAAATAACAGCCAGTCAGTAGCTGTCAAAAAGTTAATTTTGTATCTTCACGCTATGAGTCATGCTTGGTTTCCATAAGTGGGTGTGGCATATCGATAACTCGAAGACTTGAAGAATAAAAGTTTTCTTAACAAGCCTGTAAAAAGAGTTTTGCTTTTTGTTTAAATATGCATGCTAAAACACCGAGGAGAATTGAACATCGAGTGTTTCCTTATTGAAATAACTATGAAGGAAAAGGTGACATGAACGACAATCTGGGTCCTTTTTTGCTGCTCATCAACGTGTTTGAAAACTGAATAAACTTGATTATGAATGGATTAACGAAACAGGACGAAGGTGTCAGGATCAAGTCAGCAACGAGTACTGTAACAGTGTATTGATTCACAGCCACTGGATTTGTGGATCAACAATTTTTCCTTCAGGGCGCACAACCGATAGATTTTTGTAGATTATTTAGGGGGACTTTAATGAACATTTTTTATTGTTAGATCATACACACACACGCATATATATATGTATATATACATATGTATACACATATACATTTATGTATACACACACGTATATATACACATATATACACAGATATACATGTATACACAGATACATGATATACACAGATATATATGTATACATATATACACACATACATATGCACACACATATACACAAGCATGTACACACATATACACATACGTATACACATAAACGTACACACACGCAAAAATGCATTCGTACTCTTCTAGATACTTTTCACTTTTCTTCCTATCACTTGGATTTCGTTAGTGAAGACTTGTTATCATAAGATTCTGGGTAGCAAGCAGATTTTCACTTCTGGAGTCATTTTCTTCAGTTCTTTCTTCGTTTCCTTTCTTCAAAAATTTACGGAAGCAGAGTAGTGGGTGCATGAAATGAACAGCAATTTTGTCAGCAGTATCTACTCTATGACAACCTAGCATTTTTTATTGAACTAAACCGACTTAAACGCTGCGTTAATAGAATAATTAAATTGTTGAGATTGTTTAACTTACACCAGGTTCTTATAAAACTTTTGTTCGGCTAACGTGTTCCCTTCCTCAGAGGCGTTGATCCGAGTTGATGTTCCGCAGTCTATGGCACTCTCGCCGTTTGAGTCGAATTTTCTTCATTGGTTGCCTCTTTCGAGCGGTGGCCCATCCTGGAGAGCGCGGACGACTGTGGTATATCGACTCGGATCATTGGCTCTGAGGAAGACGAAGACGTTGAAACGTTAGCCGAATAAAAGCTTCATAATAACTTAGTGTAGGCTAAACAATCTAAACAATTTGCCCACTTTTAAGTTTTATTCTTTGTATTCTTTTGATTAACGGAAGTTTCGCCTTTGATATTGACTATGATGCCAATTGTTTTGTTATGAAAGAGCGTTTCAGTGTTCAACTTCCTGATAAATTTTGGAATAGCATTGCTTCATCCGCTCGTAATCTCAGTTGGTATGCTGATGGGCATTCCGTTTAACACAGGTATGACGGCTTCCATGCTCTTAGTTAAATTTACTTCTTTTTTCCAAGCACTGCTGAGTCCATGAAATAACGGCGTCCTTCTTCATGCCGTTCCATACATAGATTAGACATAGAAGTTAAATTGTAGACTACTACTTTTTGTAGGCATTTTTTTTAAGCCTTTAGTAGTTTAACACAGAACGAATTCAAGAAGTACCTATTTATTGTTAGAATGAAGTAAAAAGTATGGAGCGCACAATAAACGAAATTTACCGAAAAGGTAGTTGTTGTGCCGATTTTTAGTGATCGATGTCCTCTTTCGAAGCGTACCAGCGACGGCTAACTTCATTGGTGGCACGGTGCTGATCATTATTTCTTTGCTGTTCATCATAATACCGTATGAACTTTTGTGCCGGAAACTACCGTCAACCACCGTCATGGACGAAGTTAGGTCTGGCAGTATGAATGAGCTTCCTCCAGGACACACGTTGCAGGAGTTTGTAGGTGCTGATGACTGTAACGGCAATGGCAGACAGGATAAGAGAGCATTCTGAACGTCAGTAGACCAACAAATCGGTTATTTACACATTTCTTAATGAACGCCGAATTTTTTTGTTCGTTTACACTTTGGCTGAAAACCGGGCTAGCCGATGGTAATGTGAACGAAGCATCAATAAAAAGAATGTTTTCTGCCCTTTGTGTATTTTACAGGTCAAGAGCAAAAGTAAGTGTGAAAACGCTGCTGTTTCATGCTTTATTGCTTGATTCTTTATATTGAGATTTAAATTTTCATATGCGATATTCCGATAGACTAGTTGTTGATGAAAGTGTACTTGAAACATGCGTGGAACGCTGCTTGTTCTTATGCTGATACATTGGATTTGAAAAACGAATCCCAAGGATTCAGACTGTTCAAGCAGCGAGAAAAAGTTGAAGACTCAGGATTGAGAGTAACTGTTTTATTTTTGAGAACGGCGTTTTCTTCGACATTTAAAACATCGCGAATGTCGAGGTCATAGAAATAGAGCAACGGAAGCGTCCAAAAAATACAGCTTAATTTACTTTCAATTTTGCCGGTAGATTTTGCGACTGGATTCTTGTCACTTTCTTTTTTTGAATCTGGCCATCTGCAACATTTGGTTATTCCTTAAACCGTTGATCAGAGTTTAGAACATCGATAAGCGATTTACCGCTGCATGTCACAACCATGATGCCACGGTATGCTGTCGTAGAGACGTCCATGTCAATGTTAATGCTTACCACTGAAGAACCATCATGTATAAAAGATCCTCGCTAATTAGGGAAGTTTCATTCGAGCTGTGCCTTATTCAATTGGATTTGAGTCGACACGATTGCGAGGATTCGCCTTGCAAAGTTGAACGATTGTTGTACATTCGACACGAATCTGAAGAAGGAGGAGATGCCAATATTGGCTTATCAATGGAACGCTGTCATCTATGAAGAAAACCGTACTACCATAAATTTAGTTCACTCTTCTGGGTTCCGATTCTTCGTCTGCTCCATTTCAATGTTCATTTACGAAAATATAAACGAATCATTAGGAAACTATTCCACTAACCAAGGGAATAAATAACCATGATCTAACAAAAATTATTTGCAGTTTTACAAGGAAGTTACTATTCATTAAAAAAATCCTACACACAATCTAGAACGCATTTTATTAGAAAGAAAAATAAAGTTGAGGTAGTTGTGAAGCTCTCTACGGCTTCATCAACACAGAAATTGGCAACGTTCTTGTGGAACCGAAGATAATGGCCACTTTACACCGCTACATTTTTGTGTTTGTGACTTGAATCTACTGCCTACTGTTGACATCGCGCCGCAAACGAAAATGCGGGTCACAATAAAACTTGGAATAAAACTAAGAAACTGTTATACCTGTGAAAGTTCGATTTTCAGTTAGTCTTAAGTTATGTTTTTACGAATTGCCTTTGAAGAGCTGTTGCCAGATTGTTAACACGTATTTCCCATGTTGAATAGCTGACGCTTCTGTGATTTCGTTTTCTTCAAGGACTAGCTACATTGCTACACAGCATTTTCCTCATCAATCGGTGAATATTATACAGTTCTAGTAAAAATCTAACGTACAAACCGGAATATTGGAAAAGTACTCACCATTTTCATCTTCTAAAAAGCGAGACCAGTCCTACGTCGTTCACAGATGATGTATGAAATTCTGACCACTGAAGTGATATTAGCTAATGCGAGAGAAGGCACCAATTTGCTTGCGACAGAGAGGAATTCGATCGGTTCGATTCATTTTTAGATTTTAAATGTCTGAAAAGGATTTATAAAGCTTTGCGCGTTGGTATTTTGGGTTGCTGAGCCAGCGTAGTGAGATTGTAACATCGAAATTATCACCGCTATTTTCTCAAGTTCCCTACTTATTAACAACCTCGGGTTACCACGAGAAAGGAGAGTTAATAATAACGTCTTTCTTATAGCCCTCATTTTTCCAAGTATAGTATTCTATTTTGAACAAAAACGATCTCAACAACAAAACGTGGTTATGCAGCAAGAGTTATTACTCAGATCTCTCATAATAGCCCATAACTAAACATCTTCATAAACATCGTGTAAAGTCAACATTATAAATATAAGTTGACTAATTCATAAGAATTACAGTCGTTGTTCTAAATGAATACGAGTCGTGGTAAAGAATGTAGAGGTCGGAGTACGGCACTGTCGCACAGTTAAATTTGCAGCCTCAGGATTCAATAACGTTGTTAGAAAACTACGTTGACTGGGTGCTTGTTAGTATAAGCTGTTCGATGCTACATGTTATGCGTGTTTTTTAAGCTTCTGGTCTTTCATTCCGCCTTTGCTAAAAAATCGGTCTTCTTGAAGTGGAAAGACCTAAGCACACCTGATAACTGATGAATACCAACACAAAAAGACACAGTTGCCAAACTGCCCCACCATATGCGCTTGTGTTTTGATGGAAATTTTTTGAATTTTAACTTATTATTTACTCCCAAATCCGACTTTCTATTAACCTCGGCATTGATTGAATATATATCTTCCTACTTCTCTTCAGCAAACACGAGGTGCTATTTTATTTCTTTGTTTACGCACAAGCTGACGTTTCGGCGGATTTCGCCTTCCTCAGAGCCTGGAAGGGTCAACTTGACAGCAATCCATTTGGCCAAACACCTCCATAACCAAACAGAGAATACGCTAAACCAAGATTTCAATCACATTTAGCATAGCTCTGCACACTCACCGCTTTCTATGAGTTTTCCACTGAGTATGTCGCGTGAAGACCAACCGCACCAAATCCACATGGAGGCGTAATGTGCTCCTCCCATCAGAATAACAGGTTTATATACTGTCCAATATCGCGTGTGATAACGAGGCATTCCTCCCTGCGGTTCATTTTCGGGTTCTTGGAATTAGCCCAGAATGCCTCTAGAGTTTTGCGCGCTTGTGTTCTCGATTCTTGCGCGAGGATCGTAACCCTTACTTCAAAATCTTCTCCGTTATGTTTCTGCGTGCTATGCGTACCTAGTGGAGTACTTGGCTTACGTTTGCCGACTAGGTGTCCTTTTATATGTACGCAGAGTGGTCTACCCGTTTCGCCAACGTATTCGTCCCGCACGCTTTACAAGAGATCAGATAGACTGTACCCGAACTCATGCAGTTACCGTCTCTACCATTGGGGCAAACTATACAATTTTGCATTGCGCATAGACGGTCGTATAGGCGGTTACGAACTAACTGGTGCCTTAGATTACTCGGTGGTATTTCGATTATCGTTACCGAATTCTCTAGACTGGCCCTTCTTAAACAGCGTTTTATAGCTGCACTTACTTCATTT